AGTAGGTACAAAATAATTCTATAAATCCAACTTGTGGCAGTCTGAATTAGACAGTCTAAGAAGGTTAGCTCTTGTTCTTCTGAGCAAATTATCAAGGTGTAAAAGCCAGGAAATATAAAAATGTGAAGGAATGTAGACCTGGCTTTGGGAATGGGGAAGGAATGAGCAAACCACTAAGAAGGGCACATTCAGAAAAGATTACACAGTCCTGAGAAAGAGGGTGTGGGAAAAAAAACTCAAAATAACTTCCCCTTGATTTTGTTTTGTATAAGATGGGGGAGAGAGTGCTGAGTGGCTTTCAAGATTCTGTTATTCTACCAAACAACAATAAAGAACATTCCTGGAATCCCTGTCATGCCTTTTTCTTGACCTGGCCTACCCTGAAAGGCTACAGAAAGTTTGAGGAGCAGTGGCATCCTTGGAGGGGGAGTATCAAAAGTGGTCTCTGAAGCATTGATACCACATGTGCATACAAAGGGTGGGAGTTTGTATGGTCACAACCACCTTCTTGACTGTGTGACACCCCCCCCCCCCCCCCCCCCCGTGGATATCCCTGCTTGGAAGTAGACCAAGAAACACTGGATGATACATCAAGAGAGCTGTCGTGGTACCTGCAGCAAAAGAAAACAAGTATCCCAGCTGAAAGAAACAGTTGAGTAGTTCAAGGTGCTTTTCTTCCTAGGAAAGGGCAGATCTCTCAAAAAGGCATGAAGTAATAATAATAATGGGAGATGTTACTTAACCCAGCATTTCTTGGGAAACAGGCACAGTGTTGACCATTTCCTTCAGAGAATGGTGGAAGAGTCAATGAAAACAGCTATTCTTTTCTTAGTTCTAACAAATAGATTTTTAGATGGTAAAATCAAAGCAGCAAGAACTTTTAGGAAAAGTGGCTACATAATGCTGATTTTTTTAAAAAGGGAAGGGAAAGCTGAATCAGAATACCCTGATTAAGATGTAATGCATTTTGCCTGTTTATAACAGCATGGTATGTAAGTCCACTCATTATATTTATGGGAATCTTACCACAATGGCATGACACATGAACCAGGCCATGAATCATGGCTAGTATGCTCTTCTTTGGATCGTGTAATGTAATGGGAATGACCAAGGCTAGTAAAAAGAGAGAATTATGTTTGGGATGAGAGAATCCAAAATTATGGAGAAATGAGAGATCTCCCAAGATTTAGGCTATTTAATAATTATTTTATTTTGGTGCCTGTACCAGAAATTTGCATACCTAGGTATGCTTGAGGACTATTAGTTGGAAATCTTTAATGTATAAGATGCACTGCATGTAATAATATAGCTCAAATTCATATAATTCTTTGTTGTAAATCTTGCATTTTATAAAGGCAGCTCACATCTTAGTTTGTTGGAAAGTCCAGCTGTTCCCTTTCATGAGTTCTGAAAAAAATCTATTGTGCTGAAAATGCCAAATTGACAGACTGTAATTGGAAGTCCTTCAGGCTCCAGTGGATACTGAGACAGGGAGTGGCTTAGTTTTATATTGTTAGCAACAGATTGTTCTGTTTCTAGAACAGATGCAGCCTTAAAGGAAGTTATTCCTTGACTGTTGCCCTAATAATTCATGCTTTATTTAAACAGTTGATGGATTCCATATGTTAGAAGGCTTTCTAATGTTTGTGGATTGGTAGAAATGTTCAGTTTGAAATACTTTTATAACTGTACGGTGTATTCATTTTTTTAAAAAAAAGATCTAAATGTGTACATTTGGACTAGGTTATATTTCAGAGTGCTGGAAGATCTGTGTATTCATATTATACATTTTAGACATGGAAGATTCAGTGTAAGATAGCATTAAACAGCAGCTTATTTTAATAATAAGTTTGCTATATAAATGTTCTTTCTAGATGACTGAACAATGTTAAGAACATCAAATTAATAGTAAAAACATTCAGGGACTGCAGAAGGAACTAAAAGCTGGGTCCAGAACACAAACTGCTTTCTGTTTTAGACCATTTTCTTCTGGAAAACTGCTAGACATCCTCCCCACCCCTCCTGGCCAGATCAACATAGTCTAGAGAACTATTGAAATATTCCAGAGTTTTGTGGAACATCATGTCCAGAGATGGAACACTTTGCACATACCTAATCAAAAGCCATTGTAAAATCCAGGAGAACAAAAAAAGTCACATATACCCTCTCATATAACCATCCTTCAGCAGCCAAAGCAGGCTTAATCCCTTATTTTGTCTGTAAGGCAGCAGCATCTGGGGGGGGGGGGGGGAAATCAAAGAGGACAAGATGGCAGATATGGCATCCTGATGCAAGCCCCACCTTTTTCTGTGTACAAAATATGAACATTTTGCCACCCTATCCCCCATAGACACTGCTGCTAAAAGCCCAAATGAAATGGGTTCAGATAATCAGTACCCTTCAAGAATATTTTGAGTTGTAAATCCACTGCCATCTTGATCTTTCCCCAAAATGCAGTATTTGTGACTCAGATTTCTTGGGTCAAAGGTGAGTCTTTCAGTAATTGTCTTACAATTGCCCTTTTCAAGCAGCAAGGAACACATCCTACTCCAAGGAGGCATAGAAATTTAATTCTGTTTGATTTATAAATAATTTGGTAGTCATAATAATTGTACACATTCTGTTCTCAAGATCCACAAATGGAAAAGAATCTGAAATAATAGGAAGAACAATTATTGAGATTATATCACTATAAAATGCCAACAATGGAGTGAAGATAGACTTGACTAAATTTACAAAGAAACAATGAATGCTAAACTTTGGTTAGATTTCATTTTGGTTAGGGTTGGAGGGGGTGTTTTTTTTTTTAATTTTTGCTTTAATTTGGTGGCTTAGTTTGTTTGCAAAACCAGCCCATCTGGTTAGTTTATAATTCATTGTACTGTGTGAATCGAGAAATGGGCTAATTCACAGTAGCAAAGTTACTGATGGAATTATTTTGGGGGTAATTTTGGAGGAAAGAATACAGTTCATCTCACTCCTTTGCCAACCCAGAGCCAGTCAGTTTCACCATGTTCTGTCTGTAAAGTGGCTTCTTGACATGTATATAGCTATCTAATAATAATCAATGGTAATTCTGCTTTACTTCAGTTACATCCCAAGAGAAGTTATTATGCCATTGTTACTACTAAGGCAGAGTCCTGACATTCAGAAATTGTTGGAGAATTTCCCTTGAAGAAATTCAGAGAAATTGTCCAACTAATTTTTCTGCCCACAAATTTGGAGCAGAATTTTGAAAGGTTATTTGTGATTAATTGTAAAAATAACCACCTAATATAATTATCCCTCAGTTTAAATGTAGAGAAGGGTTATAGAAGAGGCCTCTGTTATAATGGTTCAAAATCTTGAATCTCTCTCTTTACAGGTGCAAATCAAGACCTTTTGTTTGATCTTAATAAAGACTATTTCAGGGCCAAGTATTATCAAGGATTGAATTGAAAGACCACAATAGGCTGGATATTTGGATATGCCTTTTTATCTTGTTAATAGATTAAACTGAACCAGAGACCTACTCCAAAAGACTGTTTTAGCCAGTATTTCAGACAGCAAATTCTCATACACGTTTCCACAGAGGGAAAGCCAAGCTCCAAACAAAGAAGTGTGTTGGGCACAAAACAGAGAACATGCCGTAGGGTTCTTAAAACTTAGACTGGACAATATTTAGGGTGCTCTTACTCTTCTAGGAGCAGAACTATGTCTTGAATAGCAGGATGGCTAGCACCATTGCTCTAAACAGTTTGTTAGTAGCAGAAATAAGTTATTACCATTATGATTGGAAACCTCATTATAGCATTAGAAGCTTTCTGAGCATTGGTTGAAATCTCATGAGAGAGATAATTTTCCATGTATGATGGCAGTTTGCACAACAGTTAGTGAACAGAACCAGTTTTGTTTTATAATAGTTAGCTGCAAGTTCTTCTTGACCAAAATACTCCTTTAACATTCTTTCTGTTCCTCACAGGAGTGCTTTTATATTTTACCCTGTAGGCTATGATAGGGAAGGTACAGAAATACTCCCCTTTTGAAGCATTTGTGTCTATTTGGATGAAGCTGTAGAAATAGCTGCTCATGTGTTTTGTACTTTTTAATGCCATCTGATGCTCTAAGCTAATAGCCCCTTTTTCACTAAGTTCTTCGGGTGGTCTGTAAAGGAGGTTGTACATCTTCTATGAGTGGATCAATCCAGTAATATCTTAATGAAAGTAACTAAATATAAAAATAGGACTAACCTATCCACCTCTAAAACGAACAATTGAAAAACAAAGGAGAAAGGCTTTACAGAAGATAGTACTTTCTCACAGCCTCTAGCTATTCAGAGAAAAGTGCAAAATAGCCAGGATTTTTGAATTTGACATTCCAAGATGACAAGATTTTGTTCAACAAGATTTGATTTGAATTAAAATGAGATTTGATCTGATAGAAGATTCATCATAGGATATAATGGAGGAGCATCAAAATGCCCACAACTGTTTCATTTTGCAGTAAAAGGGGATGAAACTAACAGAAGTGGTAGACCTTTCAGAGGATACAAACCCTGAAAAATTGCAGCCAAATAGTTTCATAGGTTTCACAACAATATATTAAAAAAAAAAACTTTCTGTACATATTTTAAGGCAAAGATCAGGGTTGAGTAAAGGACAGCACAGTTGCCCCCAAATTGTCCAGCAGAATTCCCGTAGAAAAGTAGGAGATACTAGCTTAGGGTTAGCTAATTAGCTTAATTTATGCCTAAATTAATGAACTATTCAGGAGAGTACATTGTTGGACAGAATAATGAATGGATGGATGGATCAGGTTGATTTCAAATTTTAATTCCAAAGTGTATCTCTTCTCTTCAGTGTTCATATAAGATATTCAAGTCACAAATATTGTAGGATACGTCTTCTGTAAATTAATGAAACTGATTTTGTTCTTTAAACTGATTTTGTAAATCACTGTAGGATTTTGCAGTTTGTCCTCCCGGTGTTTGGTAACATTTCTAATGTTTTATACTCAATTAGCTTCCAAGCAATTTTCAGAAGAAGTCTTAAGAGCCCACAATGACTACAGGAAGAAGCATGGTGTTCCTTCACTAAAACTCTGCAAAAAATTAAATAGAGATGCACAGCAGTAAGTACAATTAGTTCTTCTTGGTTTAGAAACACGGTAGTATTATTATACTTAGGTTGCAGACTATCTTTTTGATAATGTAGACCCAAGAATATATTTAGTCAAACCAACATTTGATAATTTTTTTATGTTTAAAAAGTATTTGACTCCAAAAATAATGGCATCTTTTGTAAGAAAATTGGTGACATGCTATAATCTGGCATAGTAATTTGTATAAAAATGCGTTTGTGTGGAATAAGAAAATTATATGCTAGAATAATTTGAATTAGTGAGATCACTTTAGAATATTTTATTTATGCATTATATGAATAATTTTTCTTCAAGTGTCATAAATGTAGCATATAATTAATCTCTTTGTATGTCTTTTTGTGTGTATGCATAGGCCTTCAAGTCAGTCTTGACTCTTGGCAACTGCCTCAATAAGTCCATGAATTTTCCTAGCAAAATTTCCAGAAGTGGTTGCCTTCTTCCTCAGACTTTGTGCTTAAATCAGGACTTGAACTCACAGTCTCCTGGTTTCTAGCCTGGTGCTTTTAACCAAACTGGCTCTCATTGTGTTATTATAATAAAAATATAATAATAAAATTATTATATACAGAGGGATGGCATGCACCCCAGTGTGACCACTCCAGATATTGAAAATGAAACTCTGCTGATGACATTAAGCCAGCAATTTCTCCTTTACTGTCTGGTGTAGGGAGGAAACCACCAACCAGCTGAAGGTGATACATAATACCACATAATATACAAGGCAGCTCATTGAACACTAAAGGAATAGATTTGAATGGCAACTCAGCAGTGAGGGTGAATACTGTTACCTGGTAGACTCATTGTCCCATCCCAGGTCATCCATTGTAGAAAAATGAATCTGCTTTTTAGGGAAGTGAGAGGGACTACACATGCTATCTCTGCTTTCCTATTGCCCAATTGTCTGCCTTCTGCAAGTAATTCAGGGTGGTGGTTTTTCTTCAGATGCCCTGGCAGACTGAAGAGACTACCTTATTCTTTTGATTCATGTTTGTGCTGCTATACACTATTCACAGATGGCATAGTTGGGTTCTGATGTCAATTCAAAAAAAAGATTTAGTTTCTAGTCTTCAGATTATCCTTAGTACTATTCTCTGAACTGTAACAATTCAACTGAACTCTTAATGTTTGGTGTCCAGAACTGGACACAATGCTCAAGGAATGGTCAAACCAACAGAGAATCACAATACTGCAGCCTCATTTTACACTGATAAAGTTTCTGAACATTCAAGGGTTGCCGTATATAAAGCACAGTGCTGAATATGGTATAACTAAGGCATGAATAATTGTTGCTAGATCATCCAAATTTAGTGATGGTAAAAAAACATACTTGTGCAAACCCACTCCAAGCAATTGCTGCCACCAGAAGACCAAATAATGTTGTAGGATCAAAATAACGCTGAGGCTAACTTAAACTAGCAGCTATTCTGCCTCCTCAGGCTGGAGACAGTTAAATAGCAGTTACAATTGTTGCAAATCCAGCAATAAAGGCATTGCAGTAAATACAGTGGTACCTCTAGTTACGAACGCCCCTCCTTATGAATTTTTCAAGATACGACCAGCTCCGGTCCCCAAAATTTACCTCGACATGCGAACTCCGCCTCAAGATACGAACCGGATCCGCAGGCATTTGCCCTGCTGCCACGCGGTCGCGGCTTCCTGTGGGCGAGATCGCGGTAGCAAGGA